ATTTTAGCTGATCATATTTTAATAAACTTATTCAAATTCTTTTGGGAAAAATGGCACATATAATCTGAAGAATTATGATGCTTATACATTGCTGTAGAAAAGCTTTTATCACCTCTGCCCTATAATTTGGGATATATTCTCTCGTTTTGCCTATTATTTTCATCCTCTGAAAATGCCTTAGTTAGAAACAGTGTTTCCTGCAATGGGAAATGACACAATATGAAGTTAATCTCATGACAGTAATTTTCTGTGTAGTTTTTTTTCTTGTAGACTTCAATTGGTAATATGTAGTATCTTTTACCCTACATTTTTTTGTGCCATTAAAAAATATTTTTCAGTGCAAATTGCATTTTAAATTATTTTAAGTTTTATTATATAAATTGATTTTAATATATTTTTATATTTTTGATACATAAATTACATAACTCTATTACTCTGCCAGTAAGAGATGGCTTTCTTACAAAAATGGAGAGAAGCCATCTAAAGGTTCTGCAATATATAGCATTCTCTATTCCACCAAATATACAGCTATCAGAATAAATAAATAGATTCACTTGGATATGGCACGTATTTTGTGTCTCCCTTTCCTCCTTGAACTCAAGGAACTGATGATGATGAAAATGGCATTTTGATTTCTTATGTTTGAAAGCTGTAGGAGCCTCCAAGAACAACAGTGTGAACCTCTGTAGATATAATCCCAAATATGTTAATCTATAGCATTATATTTTCAGAGAACACAATGATAGATAAGAAACTCATTTGATTAAAATAGCCAAAGAAATGGACTTCATTAGGATTTATAAATCGTGGTCAATAACACTAACAAAATTACTGTTTTCATGAAAATATTGTCCATCCTATTTGAAAATGACATCCCTGATAGTAATTGCTATCTGTGTGCATGCTGTAGCTGAAGAGACTTGTGTACAATCAATAGTTCTGTCTAGTGTCTGCAGCAAGATACCTTTACAGCTAAGAACCATAAAGCCTTTTCTCAAATTGTAAGTAAATCTGTTTTTACATTTAAAAATGACAGACCATACTCAGACTAAGTCCATCTAAACTCAGAAGTGGTTATCTCCACTGCAAACTAAAAGTGTTCTTTCTTAGAATATTGCTTCTCTGCTGTTGATTTTACCATTTCATATCAGAGCAAGGGGAATCTGTGACTATTAAACTGACTCAACCTACCTTTTGATTATTTGTTTACTGTCTTAAAATAATACAAGCACAGTCACATTGACTAGTATCTCCATCCTAATGATTTTCAAATTAAGGAATGGCTTCAAATTAGGAAAGCTCTTTGTTCACCTAAGTTTGGAATAGCATGATGTACGCTAATTGCTAACTTTGTCTGCATTATTTTTTAAAGATCAAATGGGCACAGTGGTAATTTTCATTAATCTCATACAGAGCAGCTAATTAAAATTTCCATTATTACCCATCCATTATCTAGTTGTTTCCTTTGTTCAGTATCAGAACAGGATGTTAATAAGCCATTCTTGTATTACAGCCCTATTAAGTATTATGAGAACTAATGTATTGCACTATTTTGTTTTTAGGTGATTTTAAAAATATTATCTTGCACCATATTGATTATGCTGAAGGTACTTTGACACCTTGACATTTTGTAATAGAGATTTCAGAATTAAATATTTGTTGCTTTAACATTTTATTCAAAATTGAGAAAAAGTAGTATATAGTAGAGAAAGGAGCTATCCAAGGACCAGAATATTTGTTTTAGTCTCATACTCTTACTAATTATGTGAACTTAGGCAATTACTTGGATTCCTTATTTTTGTAATGAGGGTATCAGAAGAACTGATCTTTAAGGGCCAGTCCAGCCTTAGCTTGCTATCATATTTTTATAACTTTCAAATATGAACTTATGTTAAAATCTCAAAGTCTTTCTAAGCTTGGTAAAAGGCGTCTGTTCTATAAAGTTGTATATTCTCTGTCATGCTCCAGTAGATTGTTTGCTTCCATTCTTTATAACCAGAGAGGATCCTAAATTATATAATTTAAGCTTGTTTCTAAGACTTGGGTGGGAGTGAGCCACAAAGTGATGGGCTGGCTCACTTGTCTATAAGGAGTACCTCGGCCATGACCTTATGTTCCAATTAGACTAATCCTGTAGGGAATCAATTAGAAAAAGGGAACCAACATTTTCTGAGTAGATTGTTCTGTGTCCATGAGATGCCCAATATGAAATACCTCTGAGCTGTCCTCAGCATGCAATACAGTGTCTCAGTTTACCTGTTCTATATTCAGCATCTTTGAATATATTATAACTGAAAGTCTCAGAACTATAATATTCTGAAGCAAAACTAAGCTTAGAATCTTCAACAAGTTGAAACTCATCACTCATCCACCCTTTTGTTTATCATCCATCCATCCATCCATCCATCCATCCATCCATCCATCCATCCAGGAAATATGTATTGAGTGCTTACTTAAACACTGTCTTAAGATCTGAGGATACAGTGGTGAACAAGGCAGGCAAGAATCCTGTCTTATAAGAGCTTGTGTTTTAGTGCGGAAGACAGTAAACAACTGAATTACAAAAATAAATTTTCATAGAGGTAATATCGTAAATGATATTTAAAATGGTGTTGCGATGATAATTAGAATGTGGGGTGGGGAGAAGACTATGGGGCTGAGATTAAAATGATGGGAGCCAGCAATAGAGAGGTTGGGGTAAGGGTTTTCAAGGCAGAGAAAACTGCAAAATACAAAGGTCACTCAACAGGGTTAAATTCCATATACAATCCCCTAGGGGAGGATTAGTGGTGCCTTTTTATATATTAATTTAAAAATAACTTTGAGGATTATATGAAAGTGGTGTGTGACTACAGACTTGAAAACTTTAATTCCTTTTACTAGTAGTTTTCAGACTGGCATATGTAGTAAATAGATCCCTTGTTACTGATGAACTTTGTATTGCTGTAGAAAGTGAGTTGGCCGAGCAAAAATAAAACTATAATTTTGAATTTGCAAAATTATGCTTTAAATATTTACTTGCTGTTATTCCTTGTGGAATAATAGATGCGTAAGGAAGTTACAGGAATATGGACATGATCTCTCAGTGATGGTTTTACTTACTGTGCCATTTAGGTGATGATGATTCATCCAGTATACTTTTTTATTTGTGGAGGAGACGGAGTCTTGCTTTGTGGCTCAGGCTGGAGTGCTGTGGCGGGATCTCAGCTCACTGCAACCTCCGCCTCCTGGGTTCAAGCTATTCTCGTGTCTTAGCCTCCCAAGTTGCTGGGATTACAGGCATGTGCCTCCACGCCTGGCTAATTTTTGTATTTTTAATAGAGACGGAGTTTCACCACGTTGGCCAGGCTGATTTCGAACCCCTGACCTCAAGTGTTCCACCCGCCTCAGCCTCCCAAAGTGCTGGGATTCCAGGTGTGAGCCACCGTCCCTGGCCCATCCAATATATTTTTAACATCTACTGTATCTCATAACGAAGCAAGAAATACCAAGTCAGTGGCCACTATACAAAATATAGGAGCTAAAAGTGAAATCGTATTCCTTGTTCTGCAGTTATTATGGAGAAGTTCAATAATAACACACTTTTATTGAGGCTCACTAAATTCATGACCTGTGTTAGTTATGTGGCATAGATGGAGTTCCCAATGTAGAAGTGAGACAGACACAAATAATGACCTCTACCACAATATTTTAAGTGCTATAATAATGATAATAGTGCCACAGCTCTAAGGGAATAGAGTTCCCCTATATGTTATAAGCCTTTATCAGACTTAAAAAATTTAGCATTTAATGGGATTTTTAAAATTCAGAAATTAAGAATGATTAACACTTTCTACATTGAGGAGGCATTCTCAATCAAAACCCAAATAGTGTGAAACCATAGGGAACTCATTTCTCATTATTAACATTGTTTTTTTTATTTTAAATGTCGTATCCTCTAATGATAATACCTCTACCCAATGGGGAAAAATTCCTTTCCTTATAATCTCCTTATAATATTATATTTCTTATGATAATATATCATATCCTAATGATGTTATTTTATGGTAAGTATCCTTAGATGTTTAGCAGAAACTGAGTGTAATTTGTATGAACCTGTAAAATGGGACTCAAGCTTGGAGTCTTAATTCAGGGATATACATTTACAGTATAGGAAAGGGGCAATTATGATTAGGTACGTCTAGAATGTGAAACTATGAGGTATTAGTATAGTGAATGTGTTGACAATGTTTTCCTCCCAGCCTTTTCCCTGAACTACTTATATAGTTATAGCAAGATGATGAAGTTAAGGAGCAGTGATGAGATGAGTTCTAGAAATAACTCAGTCTATATTGAAAATTAAGTTAAAAACTAGTTACTATCAGATAAATGTATTTAATGACTTTTTAAGATTAATCTACAACCTGAGAGTAACAGAAAGGAATAATTGGGAACTGGTGAATGCTTTCAACTGATTTGATTAATTAACATGCTAATTGGAGACTATATTGTTTTACATTTTAACAACTGTTTTCACTTATTTTTTTAGAAAGGCTGATAACTCTGATATCTTTCAATAGATGTGGGTTATGTATAATGGTATATATTAAATTTTATTTGCTGGATTTTGTGGAATCGAATGTACATATCTTAACTAGGAAAATTAATAAGATGATTTTTGAATGCTTATCCTCTGGGTTAAGGAGGACTAGCTAATATTAATTCTAATGCCTGAATTGTAAATTTAAGCACCCCTGTCAATGACACTTTGTGTAATTCAAGTTCATATTCTATTCAGGTCATGAGCACCAGCACTGTAATTTTTTTTTTAAATGAGGTCGAGGAAAATGTTGAGATATATACAACACAATTTTAACACATCAATTCTGTGATCAAGAATTTTTAAGTGTGTAGCACTCTGCACACATTTTTATATAACAAAATAAATGTTCTGTGCATTATTTTACTTAAAAATTTTTTTAAAAACATTGTCTAAAATGGTATCTTTGTTTATTTTTTAGGGTGGGCTGAAAAACAGCAAACATGAATGCACCCTGTCTTCACAAGAATATGTTCATGAATTACGATCGGGTATATCAGATGAGAAACTTCTTAATTGCCTAGAATCCCTCAGGGTTTCTTTAACCAGCAATCCAGTCAGGTAAGTCGTTATTATCATTTTGGTATGATTCATACAATTTGTAGTGTATGTAATTGTTTGGGAATATAATAAGTTTTGTTATTTAAACCTCAGGATTTTCGGACTAAAAGTCTGATGTTAATAAAGCAGCAGCATCTGATTGTGAAGTTGTAAACTTTTAAAAATATATTTAGTTGGATCTCCAGTAATGTACAATTTTAGGGATACAAATATTAACATAGAGCCAGAAGTTAAATGTCCACATTTACATGAAAATCTATTTGTGGGCTCAGATAATTATTATATATTTATTTATTAAGCAAATTAAGCATATTTGCTCCATGATTTTATTCTTTTGTGTGTGTGTGTGTGTGTGCGAGACGGAGTCTCGCTCTGTCGCTCAGGCTGGAGTGCAGTGGCACGATCTCGGCTCACTGCAACCTTCACCTCCCAGGTTCAAGCAATTCTTCTACCTCAGTCTCCCGAGTAGCTGGGACTACAGGCGCGCACCACCATGCCCGGCTGATTTTTGTATGTTTACTAGGGAAGGGGTTTCACCATAGTGGCCAGGCTGGTCTCGAACTCCTGATCTCGTGATCCAGTTGCCTCGGTCTCCCAAAGTGCTGGGATTACAGGTGTGAGCCACCGTGCCTGGTCAATTTTATTCTTTTAAAACTTGAAAGGTATATATAACTTCATGTTCTTCTATAAGTTTTAGATATACTCCACATATTTCTGTAATTTTGAGATAGCAAAAAGTGATTTATTTTAACCAGTAAAAGAAATGAGAGCATTAATACACTCCTCAAAACTCTACTAATTTAAGCTATTAACTAACTACAAAGGATTGTTAGGAGGTTACTTGCCAATGGTGGATTCCAGTAACTGTGGTTCCTTTATTAAGCCTTTAAATCAATAACACCCAAAATAAAATGTTTTATAAAGAGAAACAAAATTTCAATAAAATATCAAAACATTCTTGGCCGGGCATGGTGGCTCACACCTGTAATCCCTGCACTTCAGGAGGCTGAGGCAAGTGTATTGCTTGAGTCCAGGAGTTTGAGACCAGCCTGGCCAACATGGTGAAACCCCGTCTCTACTAAAAATACAAAAAAGTCAGCTAGATGTGGTGGTGTGTGCCTGTGGCCCCAGGTATTCAGGAGGCTGAGGTGGGAGGATCACCTGAGCCCGGGAGGTGGAGGTTGCAGTGAGCCCAGATCCCGCCACTGCACTCCAACCTGGGAGGCAGAGCCAGACCCTGTCTCAAAACAAAAAAAACAAAACAAAACAAAAAAAAATCTGGGATCTATTTGTATAACTGCTAGAAGTTCAAAATTTACTCCGTAAGAGTATATAAAAAACTTACTATGATTTTATCCATGTTTTTCCTAATATGTAATAGGCCTAAATCTTGTACTTTTCTGTCCTTTCCACAGAGCCTTGAAAATAATTTAGAGCTCAGTCATTCAGTTTGGATTTATGTATAAATTGAAATATATTAATTACTTATTTATAGTGCACTTGGCAAAAATACCTGGAAAATTACAATTTTAAAACAACAAAAAATTTTAAAAAGCCAGTGTTAAGATGTGACTTATCTTAGAGTATGATAATCATTGAAAGACGATTGTCTTGCTATTTCTTAAAAAATACTCCTAGGTTTTTGTTTTTGTTTTTGTTTTTTTTTGAGATGGAGTTTTGCTCTTGTCACCCAGGCTGGAGTGCAGTGGCGCTGTCTCGGTTCACTGCAACCTCTGCCTCCTGGGTTCAAGTGATTCTCCTGCCTCAGCTTCTCCAGTAGCTGAGATTACAAGTGTGCACCACCTCGCCTGCCTAATTTTTGTATTTTTAGTAGAGACGGGGTTTCACCACGTTGACAGGCTGGTCTTGAACTCCTGACCTCAAGTACTCCATCTGCCTCGGCCTCCCAAAGTTCTGGGATTACAGGCGTGAGCCACTGCACCCGGCCCAATGCTCCTGGTTTTAACGGTTTGAATGAACGGGGGACGTGAATTCTTGAGAACAGTAACCACGGTGGTGCATTTTTCCCCCTGCACATAACGTACAGCACTCTACCGTTTTGCCAAGCACTTCATGCTCCTAAAATTTCTGTTGCATTGTTGTTTGAATGAATGAATAAATGAGTCTTTTAAAAGTAATTGTAGGCCGGGTGCCGTGGCTCAAGCCTGTAATCCCAGCACTTTGGGAGGCCGAGGCGGGTGGATCACGAGGTCAGGAGATCGAGACTATCCTGGCTAAAAAATACAAAAAATTAGCCGGGCGTAGTGGCGGGCGCCTGTAGTCCCAGCTACTTGGAAGGCTGAGGTGGGAGAATGGCGTGAACCCGGGAGGCGGAGCTTGCAGTGAGCCGAGATCACACCACTGCACTCCAGCCTGGGAGACACAGCGAGACTCCGTCTCAAAAAAAAAAAAAAAAAAAAAAAAAAAATTGTGGAAGTTGTAGCATTAAGAAATGAAGAGGGGGACTAGTAAAAATGCATTTTTATAGAGATGTTGGGAAAGGCTTGCTTGAAATTACACGTGGGACTTTTACTAGACAGGCGCTTTGACCAGCTAAGCAACAGGGCTCCCCTCGTGTGGGGCTTTTAGAATGTAGCAACCACTGACACACAGGGAAGGATTATGCCATCAGGTGAGAAGGTGGCCGACCCTGACTGGCTGGAAGCAGACGCATTCTGGTAGCTGATTGGTCCACAGGTAGCGTGAAGCTTGTCACGTCCTCAGGCTCCCAGCATTCAATCGTAGCCTTTCAGACAGCTTGAAGCCTTCTGTGGAGAGCTCAAAGCCTTCTGTGGAGAACTCAAAGCTGTCCGTGGAGCCCCAGACGAGCCAAAGCCCACCTTCTCCTCGGCCTGAACTGTCTTGAAGATGAGTAACAGTGGGTTTGGGAGCTATGGCAGCATTTCTGCTGCTGATGGAGGGAGTGGAGGCAGTGACCAACTGTGTGAGAGAGATGCAGCTCCTGCTATTAAGACCCAAAGACCTAAGGTCCGAATTCAGGACGTTGTACCGTGTAATGTGAACCAGCTTCTCAGCTCTACTGTGTTTGACACTGTGTTCAAGGTTAGGGGAATTATAGTTTCCCAGGTCTCCATCGTGGGGGTAATCAGAGGGGCAGAGAAGGCTTCAAATCACATTTGTTACAAAATTGATGATATGACCGCGAAACCAATCGAGGCCCGACAGTGGTTTGGTAGAGTAAAAGTCAAGCAAGTGACTCCACTGTCAGTCGGAGCATATGTCAAAGTGTTTGGTATCCTCAAATGTCCCACGGGAACAAAGACCCTTGAGGTATTGAAAATTCATGTCCTAGAGGACATGAACGAGTTCACTGTGCATATTCTGGAAACGGTCAATGCACACATGATGCTGGATAAAGCCCGTCGTGATACCACTGTAGAAAGTGTGCCTGTGTTTCCATCGGAAGTGGATGATGCTGGGGATAACGATGAGAGTCACCGCAGTTTCATCCGGGACGAAGTGCTGCGTTTGATTCATGAGTGTCCTCAACAGGAAGGGAAGAGCATCTATGAGCTCCAAGCTCAGCTCTGCGACCTTAGCCTCAAGGCCATCAAGGAAGCGATTGAATATCTCACGGTCGAGGGCCACATCTATCCCACTGTGGATCAGGAGCATTTTAAGTCTGCTGATTGAGGCAGGGAAAACATCCTTTCCTTTTCCAAAGATCCTTGCATCCAGCTGAGAGTAATTTTGACCTGTTGACTTTTTAGGAAGTAGGACTAAAAAAAAAAAAAAATCTCAAGTGGCATTCTTTGTCAACTCGCTGCTTTTCTAACTGCTTTGAACTCTTCAGATTTTCTATATTTGAAGCTCAGAGAGAGATGGTGATGGATAAATTGACAACTCTGTAGGATTTACTAGCAAGCTAATGGAAACATGATGATTTGGGGGGAAGAAAAACTACAGAAAATGTAGAAATGTATTATTTAATTGTGTTGGAGCTGCTTTTCCCAAAAAAAGACAAAAAACGACAACAACAAAAAGTCTTGCTTGTTTTTATGTTAGAGTTATTTTCCATGTTTGGATTTAGCGTATAATGACATTATCTCTTGTTCAATATAGTATTTAGTACTTCATTAATTCAAATGAGCTGAAGATATTAATTTGTGAATTCTAATGCTCAGTTCAAACATTTATGTGTGATTTGCTCTCATTACTATGAATTTATGTTTTCTTAAAATAAGATTATACTATGTTTAAATAAATCATTTTTGCCAGGTTATCTTTGAATTTTTTTTAATGTGGTGAGGTTTAATTATTATTTCATACATGACGTGGTATTTGGATGAAATTACAATTTATTGTACTTGCATGGTAAATGGATGCCAGAGTTTCTGTAAGTTTGATGTGCTGGTGTATTATTTATTTTACTAAATGCTCTGTTTTATGTATAACAAGGTAATTTTTAGGAGGTCAGGGAAGCAAGTCATAGGAAATGAAACTTACTGAGTTTAACACAAATTTATTCAAATGTTTTATTAAAATAGTTTTATAAAATCTTAACTTTCCTGTGTGATTTTTTTTCTAAGTACATTTGAAAAAGCCTTTTTGTTTTATATCCTTAAGGATTAATAGTTAATTATCCAGAATTTTTTCTTTTCTATATATAATACCAAGAACATATGCTATAGCCTAGTTCTAATAATACATTTTAGTGTAGATTATATAAATTATGTGAGACTTTTAAATAATTGACCATTAAAGAAAGCCCTCAGTTACCTATACACTAAAGATGGTATCTTTCAAGGTGTTAAATATTTTACATTAGAGGAAAGAAAAAATATATACTTTTGAATGAATATGTATTATATTTTATATAATATATGTATATTCATATATAATATATATTCAGATAGAAGAGAAGAACATTATTTGTCTAATTGAATCATGAAAACTGGAAAAAAAAAAACAAAACTCTTAAATGGAGCATTGCCAGTAATCCGTACTTTCAGGAAAACTTTCAGAAAATGGCCTGCCATTAGAAAAACTTACCACCAATTCTTGCTTAAGCTTTGTGATGCATATTTTTCTTCCCCTTGAAAGTAAAGAAATCATAAATGGCACTCTTGAAAAACACAAATGAATAACATACTATAAACCTGCTACTTCAATTATCAGACATTTTGAAAATTCTGGTCTTCATAAACCTAAAATATTCGGAACCACTTTTTGTTGAAAAAGGTTACCTGTCCTAGGGAAAATCATATTGGGGGAGAGGCAACAAGGGGCATATATAATACTGAGAATTGTGGAGCTGAAAGAAATAGTCTAGCAGATACAGTATTCTTTTGTGATATCACTTACCCAAATTCAGAAACCATGACATTAAAATCTGATATTTATGAGTGTAATTATAGGTCGCTCCCATAATTGCTTGAGCTGATTCAACTGGCCAATGGATGGGTAGCCACTTTTTTTTCCTACTCTAGGAGCATGCCTCCAGAAGGAGGGGGAAAAAAAACTCTTTTTTTTGTTTTGTTTGGGAGGCCAAACTGCTTTTGTCCCTGCAAATTGATACATAGAGATATGTACACCTGAATTTAAGGCAGAAGACCAGCCTGTCCCCCATCCTCTGAGGGGCAATGTCCTCTATCTGTGTTCCTTGGGGTTGTTTTAGACTTTTAAAATTGCTCCTCCCAACTCTTATTCTTCTGAATGGAATCATGTGCTTTAGTGGATTCTGCTGCAGGTAAGAGATAGCAGTGGAAAAGTAGTAAGTAGGTCTAGATATAATGTCAGTGGAAATAAAAACATTTTAGGCAGAAAATAATCACTGGATTGTTTTATACAAGCGTATTTAGTCCATGTTAAAGGGTGCAGATTTTTAAAGTTCATTTTCAACACTCACCTGGCATGCATACTTTCTCAATTTTGTTTAGATTGGGAATGACTTGGCTAATATCCCCTTTCTCCAAGATCCTGCCCTGATTGTTAGCCACACCTTTTGAGGATAAGATACAAATCCTGGGGACATACTATTGACTATTTTGGGCAGGGACATTTAAGCCTGAGGAACCTGAAAAACGTAATTGATGATTATAATCCACCCGAGGTTTTTTCCTATGGCTCACAGGCTTATGAAATATATGTATTTATATTGAGGTTGATTCTGAATTAACTATGAATAAATATATTTGAAAGTGTTTTCAAGGCTAATGTAATAATCTTACTATGGTCATAATTATTAGTGATCATTTTGTTACTTTTACCTACTAAATTTAGTAACATTTGGAGTAGAAGCTGAAAAGCATAAATTCTTATATTTTTTCAATTTCTGTTTACTTTTGATAACAGCAATTTAAAAAAGGTAACTAGCAAGATTTATATTTGTTCATGAAACCTTTAGTGAGTTCCTACTATATGCATTTAAGTGTTAACTTTAATTTTGATGAGTTTAAATTTAATTGATTTCTGAAATGCTTATTAAAGATAGTAATAGTTAACATTTTAACATTTATTTAATATTTATTATCTCCCAAGTACTGTTCTAAGAGTGGGAGTTGTATGTATGTGTGTGTGTGTATGTGTGTGTATGTGTGTGTATGTGTATGTATGATTCCGGTGATGCCCGGATTTACATTTTCAGCTCAGACCTCTTTTTTTTTTTTTTTTTTTGAGATGGAGGTTTGCTCTTGTTGCCCAGGCTGGAGTGCAATGGCACAATCTCAGCTCACTGCAAACTCCACCTCCCAAAGGCAAGAGATTCTCCTGCCTCAGCCTCCAGAGTAGCTGGGACTACAGGCGCCTGCCACCATACCTGGCTAATTTTTGTATTTTTAGTAGGACGGGGTTTGCCATGTTGGCTGGGCTGGTCTCAAACTTCTGACCTCATGATCTGCCTGCCTCGGCCTCCCAGAGTGCTGGGATTACAGGTGTGAGCCACCCACCCGGCCAGACCTCTCTCTTGAAATTGAGACTCCATTTCCAAATGTCTTATTGGATGATGTATAGGCATTTTTAATACATTAAAAAATAATGAAAAATTATGTGTGTGTGTGATATGTGTTTTATATATATATGTGTGTGTATATGTATATGTATATATATGGCATTTACTACCCCTGCAATGTTCTAAGACCTTTAAATATACATATACAATCAGGATAACATTATTAGTATTGTTCCTATTTTGTAGGCAAACTTTAGGCTCAGAGAGGTTAAGTAATTTGCTCCATATTAAAGTTGCGTGACCAGCAAGTGTCAGTGTTAAGATTTAAGCCCAGGCTTTGTATCTCTAGAGCCTAGGCCCTTAACAACTAGTTTGTACAGCGTCACAATAAGGAAAGTCTATTAAAATAGTATTCTTTCATTGTTGTTAGTATTCTTTCACTGTCGTCACATACTAAATATTTTGACTTTCTTTCCTTAAAATTTGTCTCATTTAAATGAAAAAAACTGTGAAAACTTTCAGCAAATGTATAGAAGATAATATAAAAACACCTTTGTACTCACCTATCAGCTTAAGAGACAAAACGTTATTTTTTGCTGTCGTAGAGAACTTAGTTGAATAACTTGGGTGATTTTTTTATGATACTGTATACCATTTGGGACTATATTTTCATTGATTTAAAAGATCATCTGAAATGCTACATTTTCTCTAAATCTATGCTTGTAGTTTTTGCAATATAATATCTTAAGAATATATATCAGTGTATTGAGAAGCTTATTTTTTTTTCTGATCACATAGCTGTGTGTAAATTGGGACTTCTTTGCCCTATCCATTGTGGATGATACTTCTAGTAATTCTAACACTATCTCTGTGATATTTATTCCAATTTGCCACCATGTGATAAATTACAAAAACAATTTTTTAACATTAAGAGTTAATTTCCTCCCGGGCATGGTGACTCACGCCTGTAATCCCAGCACTTTGGGAGGCTGAGGCAGGCGGATCACGAGGTCAGGAGATCGAGACCATCCTGGCTAACACGGTGAAACCCCATCTCTACTAAAAGTACAAAAAATTAGCTGGGTGTGGTGGCTCGTGCCTGTAGTCCCAGCTACTCGGGAGGCTGAGGCAGGAGAATGGCATGAACCCAAGAGGCAGAGCTTGCAGTGAGCCGAGATTGTGCCACTGTACTCCAGCCTGGGCAACAGTACAAGACTCCGTCTCAAAAAAAAAAAAAAGTTAATTTCCTTTAGTAATACCTTAAATTGGAGGAGTTCAATAAATAGCACTTAATATTTTATGTGGTTTGTTTTTATGTATCACATGGATAATCCTACAAAGGAATAACAAAACTAAATTCCCCTTGTCCATATGGGGCTTATACATATGTAGCTTACATTCTAGTACAGGAATTCAGACAGTTTTTTTAAAGGTGTGTATCAAATGTCAGGTTGTGATATGAACTGAGGAAGAGATGTTGCTATTTTATATTAGATGATCAGTGAAAGCCTCCCTGACTCTAATGACATTTGCACAGAGGTCTAAAGGAAGTGTGGCAGTGAGCTATGTTCACTGGAGGAGGAATGTTGTTAGAAACAGAAAACAGCAACAGCAAATACCAAAGATGGGAGCATGCTTGGCATGTTCTAGGAATGTCAGGGAGGCTAGCATGCTGGAAGCAGATAATGTAGAGCCTTACTGACCATTCAGAAGACTTCAGCTTTTACTTTGAGTGAGCTGGGACACTGTTAGAGAACTTTGAGGAATGGAATGGCATGAGATGACCTACATTTTTAAAGGATAGCCCTGGATGGAAGCAGGGAGAACATGTTGTACATTACTCAGGCAGAAGGTGCCACTGACTGCAGAGGTTTCTAGTTGGCGAAGTGACACCCCAGGATCCTGTGACAATATGATAAATCATTCTAGTTCTTGATCACTCCTCTGTGGTGACCTTGGTCCAGTCAATGGTCCTCAGTTTCTTCATATGTAAATGGGATTGGAGCCTTGCAACTCTAAGCCTCTACGTTCTATATTCTCTTTTGCTTAGTTTTAATCCTCTTACCTTTGCTATTGGAACTAGATTAGTGTTTAGGTATTGTTTTGAAGAGTGAGAAGAATGTTCTTCTGTAAGGCTAGAGGATTTCCTAATGTTCCATTATTTTTTGTATTTATAAATGTATTTAACCACCCCCAGACAGATATTTATAATTTCCTTTAAATACGGATGAAAGCAGTTCCTAAAACTCTGTTGCATAACTGTTTTTGAAACCTGGTGTTCATTAGAACCCACGCCGTTGTCCTCTCGTGGGTAATTCTCCTCCCTACCACAGTTTTAATTGGTTTATTTTTGTTCAGCCCCTCGTAAAATTCTAAAAATATGTATAAATAAGTGCACACACACACACATACACACATACATATACATACTAACAGTTTTACCAAACATCCTCAAAGCAGTCATTTTGGAATATTAAGTGGAGTCATGAATTTCAAATTCACATGGTATTTAATCACTCAGGTGATAAAGGCTCTAAGAAAGTCATTTTGGTATATTATTTTCTGCTAAAGCAAATACTTAAAAATCCCTTTTATAAGCCATCATTAACTGGTCCTATCTCAAATCACTCTGTTACTCTACATTTCCCTCAACATTTATTTTTTACTGTATATATTTACCAGTACCTGTTTATATTCTGTAATAGTTTCATGTATGCATGTCTGTTTTTCTCATTCAGATTTTAGTCTCCTCTGGGGAAGGGACCCTCTTACCCTCTTATTTGTCTCCTGGTGGCTGGTGCTGTGTAATTTATATATACTAATGTGTGATTTGATGTGGTTATTGACCCATCATCAATAACAACCTCTGCTTTTCCAGCAGTGAGAATGAATTTGCATTAATCTGGCACTATTTTGTGGCCATGCATTTTTAGCTGTAATCAGAAAAAGAATGGAGCTAACTTTTTCCACATAAGAATGAAACCTTGGTTTGAATCATATTCACAATCCACAGACAGCATGGCATGCTTTACGCAATAGCCTTGTTACAATTGCACGGTGTATTAATGAAATTGAATGTTTACAACTCTATTTAACACTCTAAAAATCCATGTGCTTTGACTGTAAAGTACATCCCAATCTGCCATCACAAATTGCATTAGACTTTGCACATACCATGGTCTATGTGTGATTTAGAATGAGGACTCCGTTATTTAGATATTTTTGTTCATACCTCTTTACTAAAGTTTATGAAAGGAAGCAGTGCCTGCTGAGAAATGGCCAATGAGTTTGGACAATTTTATTCCAAGCCCATTCATTGCAAGATGTATAGATATTTGGCAATACATTTTATGAAGATCCAAAGAAATATATAGCAATAGATCATTGTCACTAAGGTTTCTCAGCACATGACAAAAACAGCAAATACTACTTTGAAGAATAGTATCACAGAATTGTGATTGCCTAGAATTCTTTTTAGAGTTGTTACTCAAATTGCCTCACAGCTTTAGGGGTATTTTACCCCACTAGGAAATTGTTTTTCTGTTTGGTTGGGATCCACTTATCTGCCAAACTCATGGCGTAGTGTTTGTGTTCACATCCTATGATGATAGCTTCCTCGGGCAATATTTCCAAGCCAGTGAAAACATAAAATATATTTTCGAGTTGATACATGTGCAGTTATTTGCATTACCTCTGGAATATTTGTTTTTATTGGATGCTATCTTCCTTTTAGATTTAAACATATTTTTCTAGTGTATTAACAAATGTGCATTTTAACATAATTATCATAATGAAAATAGATGGATCTTGACAGCAATACAAATTAGGACTAGAAAGCACTTTCTGAATTATAGGTCTTAATAACTATTTAAACAACCTGTATTAAACTTATTAAAAGCTTGGCAAAGCAGCCAACAGTACTTAGAAAGTTAATATAAAGGTAGGTATAGATCAATACTCTTAGAACATTTTGCAGAGGACTAACTATGAAAGATGGAATAATAAGGACACTTTTTACAATGTGGAAATGTGAACACGGCTTAAAATTGTGAGCACATCTCATAAAGCAGCATTATGTGCGGTATTACTAAAGCAGGTTTTTCAGTATTGGTATTTTGAATTTCTTTGCTTTAACTTTCAAATCCATAAATCATTTTAGAATAGCACCTAGTATATTTATACACAGAATAGAAAATAGTAAACTCATTGCAGTTGTCAATTTATATGCCTTTTGTTAAAAATCTTGGTCAACAATTCAAATTCATATCAAGTATATTCAAGCTCATTTGACTAAGTTGATACCATACATATTAAGTGACCTGGAATTTTTAATTATACACTATTAACTTCAAAACATAATTCTGACTTCGGCACATCCAATGATATTACCTCTTAATAGAAACAAAGTAGATTTATGTGTCATATATTATTTTAAAAAATAATTAGGCACAGCAGATACTGACCTAAGTTTTTGAAGTATTATTAGGAGAAAATGTTACAGGCATTAGGATAAATAATGGTTCTTGTGTTGGATTTATTTTATTACTATGTAAGCTCCACCAAGGCAATACGTTTTCTTATTTAAATGATGTGTTTTAAACTAGAAAGCCAATTTTATATAATAATCATCTAAAATAATTAGAAACATGTAACTGGTCATATAAAGGTATATATAATCTAGCAGCAGAATCTAGGCACACTGATTGTATGGATTTCTGAG